AATGTGTGTGACTATATACCATATAAAAATGCAATGTGCTTAAAAGGTCTCAATACATCCCTATAAATAGGAAAAAATATAAACATACCTAAATAACGTGCATGCTTAACCACTTGAGCTCCTGAGGATTTACCCCCCTTAATGACCAGGCCTCTTTTTGCTACTCGGCGGTGCACTAATTCAACTGATAATTGCGCGGTCATGCAATGCTGCACCCAAACAAAATTTACGTCCTTTTTTTCACACAAATAGAGCTTTCTTTTGGTGGTATTTGATCACCTGTGCGCTTTTTATTTTTTACGCTATAAATAAAAGAAGACCAAAAATTTTGAAGAAAAACAATATTTTTTACTTTCAGCTATAAAAAATATATAGTAAACTCAAAGTTAGTTATAAATTTAGGCCAAAATGTATTCTGCTACATGTTTTTGGTAAAAAAAATCCCAATAATTGTATATTGATTGCTTTGTGTGAAAGTTATAGCGTCTACAAACTATGGTATAGATACTGCAATTTACGCCATTTTTTTGCTATACAGCGCTGCGCTAGTTTAACAGACAATTGCGCAGTCATGCAATATGGTACATAAATGAAATTTACATCCTTTTTTACCCCACAAATTGAGCTTTCTTTCTGTGGTATTTGATTGCCTGTGCGTTTTTTATTTTTTGCGCTATAAAAAAAAAGGCTGAAAATTTTGCGGAAAAAAACAATATTTTGGACTTTTTGCTATAAAACATGTCCAGTAAAAAAAAATAAAAAGATCAAATTTAGTCATAAATTTCTGTCAAAATGTATTCTGCGACATGTCTTTGCTACACAAAACCCCAATACGTGTAAATTAATTAGTTTACATGAAAGTTATAGCGTTTACAAATGGCGGGATTTAAAAAATTTTTTAATACTAATAATGGCGGCGATCAGCGACTTATGGTGGCGATCAGTGTCTTATGGTGGCGATCAGTGACTTATGGAGGGACTGCGGGACTGTGGCGGACATTCTGACACTGGGGGGGAACTGACTTGGGTCACTGACATCCCCAGTGACACCAATACAGTGATCAGTACAAAAAAAAAAAAACTAAAAAGTACTAATGGCACTGGGAGGAAGGGGTTAACTTTATTATTCAGTGAAAGGGTTAACTGTGTGAGGGGAGTGTTTTAATAGGGGGCGGGGGTGTGTACTGCAGGGAACACCGCTGATTGGGACAGATAAACTCTTCTGTCCCGATCAGCGTGTCCTGGAGCTGTCAGGGAACTAACAGAAAGCACAGCTAATGCAGCTGTGCTCTCTGTCACTGATTGGCGCTAATCGCCGAGACATAGCTGGTAACGACCGGCTGTGACCCGGTGACTGACATCCGCGGCCGTGATCGGCGGGACAGGTAGGGCGGTGGCGCGCCTCGCGCACGCCCCCTACCTGTTTTAAAAACACGTTTTAAAACGTGGTTTTGCCCAGCCGTGCCGCCCTGCCGCCGTATTTCTACAGTGGCTGGGCGGCATGTGGTTAAACAAATAATAACAAATTGTGCTACATCAGTGAATACTGTGCAAATGGTGCAACAATCATGGACATCAGTCCTTGCATAAATACAGTGCACTTATGTGCAAATATGAAAGTACCAATATTCCTCTATCCACATTCAAATATTTAAAGACCCAATGTGAAACACTTTGCATTCACATCCCATATGATAATATGTGATCCAGAGATCAATATTCTTATCCGTAAAGATCTTTGTGTTGAGTGCTCCACTTTGTGTTCCCCCTCCAGAGCTCCACTCACCACAAGATGTTGACCACTTGCATAGGTAGGTCAAACTGCACGTTTGGTGCTTCAGTAACCCCAACAGTGAAGCCTGCTCTCCTGATGACGTCACATGGCGAAACGCGTAGGCTGAGGCTTGTCAGTGCCACTTTAGTCTCTTAAGAGGGAGTACAGAGGATTGCAGTGTCCTAGGATTTTTAAAGTTCCATATGCATGTTTAACATGTAAGTGCATTTTTTAGTGTTTTACACCTAATAAAGACAGTATTACGCTATGGAAGCTTTCTTTTGATTGGTTTTCACGGTGGTGGAGGAGTATTGTGGATGGTCTGGAGTGTTTTTCACATATGGAGTCCATAACCAGTGGATAGAGACGCCAAGTATACACAGGCAACGGATCGCTGTAGGGGTTACTGAAGCACCAAACGTGCAGTTTGACCTACCTATGCAGGTGGCCAACATCTTGTGGTGAGTGGGGTTCTGGAGGGGGAGCACAAAGTGGAGCACATTGGGATTTTAAATATTTGAATGTGGATAGTGGAATACTGGGACTTTCATATTTGCACATAAGTGCACTGCATTTATGCAAGGACTGATGTCCATGATTGTTGCACCATTTGCACAGTATTCACTGATGAAGCACAATTTGTTATTTGTTTAAGCATGCACGTTATTTAGGTATGTTTATATTTTTTCCTATTTATAGGGAGCACTTTTTAAGCACATTCCATTTTTATATGGTATATAGTCATACATTTATCTGTGGGCCACCATCACATATGTAGCGTGGCACATTTAACCACTAGTGGCAGTGCAGCATTTATTTATGTCTGATAAGAAATTAGCCCACCAATGTACTGCTTCAGCTTTGTTACCTTAAAAAGTACAATTGTAATGTTAATGTGATACCTACAAAAGCATGTTTCTAAAAATATATTTATGTAAAAGTGTTGCACTTATTATACCAAAACCTAATATCAATAACATGAAAATATTTATTCACTGTGATGTTTATGTAAAAACCTCAAATGTACTCAATAAACATACCAATTATTTGGAAAGCTGTTGAGTGTAATTTTTGTATCCGCTTCCTACTGCAGTATTTGTTATTATTTTGGTGATAAATGAAAAAAAGATGTCACCTGATTTTTTTTTATGTATTATCACAGGAAATCTGGGAGCAAAATAGTACATATTATGTAATATTACATAAACACTAACACTGACACTAAAATAAAAAAAACTAGATAAAGAACTGATCTAGCAATTTAAATCTTTTTTTTTTCTTTTACACACACTTCTTTATTTTACAATCGTCTCCTCTGACAAGGAGAACAAGATACAATTTATCTTTTTCTTCATTTAGAGAAGCAAGACAGCACAGGGGTAGGTTTTGAGAGTCGGTCTCTCTGGTTACCAATCCTTAGTAGGCTGTCAGGGACAGCTCTGATTCCATGCTGGGAACATGCTTCCAACACAAACACTGAATGCATATATGCAGTGCCTTGTGTGAGCTTGGGGTAAAAACGGGTTAACACAGAATATATGAGTACTTTGGTTGCCGGTCACTTAATAGCAATCAGGGATCCATGTGCAGGAAGCTGTTAAATTCATGATTGCTTCTCAGGATAAAATGTCAGACTCTTAGAATTGGCATCTCTCTGTATGCCAGCTGAGAGCTGGTCTTTATTACCACCAGTTTGTTTATCTGTGAGCTATCAGTAAAACTTTTAGAATCTGTCACAGGCATAAAAACAGTCTCTAAAAATGATAGCAGTAAGAACTACTTGAGTATGGCGCACATTTAAGTACTGGTACCAAAAGTGTGCAAAGCTTCTGAAAATTAGGTGCAAGCCATGTAAAAGGGTCCATACCACCATACAGTGTTATTCCTTTATTGAATCTGCCCAGTATGTCCAATTAATGTACAACTAAACTGCAGGTAAAGCAGGTCAAACACATCCAGTACCTATCCATTGCTACGGTTTTCCATTCAAATTCAGTTGCATGTTCGTAAATGAAAAAAACGCAGTGTTTGAGTAGAATGCTTGTCAACATGGACGCTTATAATTCCTCTGGGTAAGCTAGCTAAGGCTATTTTCTTTTCATCCATTAAAATGACAGCAAGACTATGAACTCAGAAAACAAATAAAGCTAAGCCAATCTGTGCACTATTTTACATTTTTTTAAAACCTAAATAAATGAATAAAAATATAGCTTACATTTAATTGTCATAGATTGCAAATAAAATCATTTTTGTGAACTCTCAGTGCACTATTGCTGTTCCTTGAAATTACTCTTTTATGATAAGTAATTCTCTTGACATTTCTAACTACGTTTGAATAAAAAAAACAAATAAAATTGTGTTCACATGTTGGTGTCTTAAAAAACATTATGTGATAAAAAAATAAATTTTAAACATGCTTTGTTCTAAATGGAAATTAGCTTGCATTCCTCTTCACTTATTTAGGAGCACTATAACACTGATGTATTAAAGGTCATAGTCGCTTATAACAAATTAAATTAGCAGCCGCGTATCATTCAGTTAATACGTACAATGAGGTCAAACAATAAAACAAATTAAATAGTGTATTAAAACTTTACAGCTGCCTGTGAGGCACAGTGATAAAGGTGTCATCTTTAAACTATATAATGGAAGACTATATGTTATTCCTATAATACTATAAATGTGAAGGACAGACCTTTCACTGAGCAAAGTATGATTGTTAATACTATTCTGCCATCTGTTCTCTTCACACATTGTAAAAGATTTTAACATTCAACTACTTATGTTAGTATTGGATGAATAAATTTGCCCTAAAAGTCAATCAGCTAGACAATCTTTAAGCTTTAGCTATCTGTCTACTGTTATATTATCTATCTATCTATCTATCTATCTATCTATCTATCTATCTATCTATCTATCTATCTATCTATCCATCTATCCATCTATCCATCTATATCTATCTATCTATCTATCTATCTATCTATCTATCTATCTATCTATCTATCTATCTATCTATCTATCTATCTATCTATCTATCTATCTATCTATCTATCTATCCATCCATCTATCCATCTATCCATCTATCCATCTATCCATCTATCTATCTATCTATCTATCTATCTATCTATCTATCTATTTATCTATCTGTACAATGTCTTACTAGTTCCACAACACACATAATGCCAGGATAGTATCACAAAGAGATGGCTGTTACTGGCCTAGGTGGAAAACTGGACCTTATGTATCTCTAAACAGATTTAATATGCAAAACTTATTGCATCTCTGTAAGTACTATTCAAATATTAAAGTGGAAGTAAACCCACTTTTGTATTTTTATCTATAGGAAAGCCTGTAACCTCCCTGGCGGTATTCCCGAGTGTAGCTTGGGGTAAAGTTTCAGTACCACAAGCGGTAACCCCGAGCTACACTCGGGCTTACCATGCGGTGCTCTGTTCTTCTCTTTCCTTGTCCTGCGCTCCCGCGATGTCCCTCCTGCAGTGTCCCCTGTAATGTCCTCTGGCGGATGCCGGCATCTGTCTTCTGGGTTCCGTCCCCTGAGACGTCGGGACGTACGGGGACGGAACAGCAGGAAATTTGAAAATGACAAAAAGTGACATTCACTAAATACACTAAAATAACATAGTAAAACATTACTGTATCAAACCATTTCACATACATTTTGTCCTTTCTACTGTTCTTTCTGCCTGGAAACTGAGAAACGTCCATGGTGTCCAAAAAGCGTCCCTTTAGGTCAAAATCAGTTTTAGACCAGCCAGAGAACAGCGATAGTAAATCAGAACCACTTGCAGAATTGAGTGATAATGATTCGTGGGGAAATTCGTCATCAGACACTGAAAACGATTCTGCGGCTAAGCTCAATGATGTGCGAACTTGGCGCTATATTTCAAATTTCAGTGTTTTTGGTTTAATTATATTATTGAATTAAATTTTTATTATTATATTATTATTTTTTATGATTATTTATTAAATTATAATTTATGATTTCGTGTTTCAAATTTTAACATACCCGGGATATTTACTAGACTCTTGTTCGGACAGATTTCAGTGAGTTATTCCTAAAAATTACAGGGCTACAATAAAAAAAAATACATATTTTCATGCAAAAAAATGTACCGCTTTGAGCACAGTAATATGGACATAATCAGACCACTAGGGAGGTTGATAAGGTTTTCCTGTAGGTACTGTAAATATCTCCTAAACGTGCACCATTTAGGAGATTTTACTGTAGAAGCACCAGCGATGTTACTGGCACATTCACACTGTGCTCTTAATGGATGGCATGCCGTCCATTGAGAGAGTCGTGCCGTGGCTGAAACTCCCGTGCATATGCGTGGGAGTGATGATATTGTGGCTCAGCCAATCAGATGGCCGCAGCTGGCAAACCTGGAAGTAAGATCGGGTGAGGATGGAAGGCTCGGGGGTTGTGACAGTGATTTGCTGGAGGGCTTAATTTTCAGGTAAGTCTTTCATAATGTACTACTATGCGATCCACACTAACACAATATGACATTACCTTGCAGGGAGAAGATACTTTTGATGTATTTTTGCAGTTTACTACCATTTTAACTATGTTTTAAATTAAATTAGTGTTCAACAGGGCCCCAGTGTGAAAGGAAGATGTAACAGAAAGAGCCAATAAATTCTTGGCATAGAGCATACTGAAAGAAGGGCAAATTGACAGAACGATGAGCTCATCACTGTTGCTTCTGTTTTCACTGTCCAGTTACAGGCAAAGTTGAATCCGGGGCATTCTGTCCTTAGAGAAAGAGGATGAATGATGCTGGCCATTAGACTGAGAGCATCTTGTTGTGGACAAGAAGTACAGCAGGGGAGAGCTCTAGAATTTTTTAATTTATCTTTTAATGGGCTAATAAATTTGATCTCTTCTTAGACCTCTCTGCCCCTTTGGTATAATTTCTAGCTTGTTTTTGCTTAGAAATAAAACAAAAATTAAAGTATATGCACTGTAAAAACAACCCATTAAGTTTAAAATAGAAATGAAAGACAAAATGTGTGTATAGGCTCCATGCACACTAGCTAAAAAAAAAAAAAAACACTGCTAATAGTAGCAGCGTTTAAAGTTTTTCGTTCTGCCTCTAGGAGCAAATAATGTTATCCTATGTAAGGCATTTTTTAAACTCAGCATTTAGGAGAAGAACAACGCTCTCTGGTTTGTGTTTTTGCAAGCAATTTGGAAAAAAAATACTAAACACTCCTACAGGCTCCTAATTGCTGCTAACCGCTGCTAAGAGCTGGTAAGCAGAGGGTTGTTAGGAAGCAGACCTTAACAGCATTCCCAGATGACAGCTGTATGTGAACAAAAGAATGACAGCATTAAAAAAAAACTGTGTGGGGGTCCCCCCAATCCATTACAGACCATGCAGCCTGGCAGGCCAAGAAAGGAGGGGATGAGCAAGCACCCCCCCCTCCTGAACCATACCAGGCCACATGACCTCAACATGGGGGGATGTTTTGGGGCAGGGGGGGATCCCTCCAAAGCATCTTTCTCCCATGTTGATGGGGAAAAGGGCCTCTTCCTCACAACCCTTGGCGGTGGTTGTGGGAGTCTGCAGGCTGGGACTTATCAGAATCTGGAAACCCCTTTAACAAGTGGGCATGCAGATCCTGCCCCTCCAATGTGAATGCATATGGGGTATATAGTACTTCTACTCATTCACAAAAAAAAGAGTAGTGTAGACAGGAGCCAGATTTTGACAAGTCTATTTAAAAAAAAACTGTGTAGATGTCACCTGGTGGCCCCTCCCCCTTAGTTTGTGTAGTAGCAGCTATGAAGATGAGCTGTCAAACTGTGAGAGATTGGGTGCAGACCTCTTTTTTTAATGCAGGTTGGAGGAGCTGCATTCATTGTGATTGACGATGGATCTACACCGGAAGGCGGGGGGGGGGGGGATAATATTTTTTTAATAAAAGACTTGTAAAAAAACTGGCTCCTGTCTTTATATACGGTACTCTTTTTAGCTTAATGAGTAGCGGTATGTACCCTATACTCATTCACATGGGGGGCGGGATCTTGTGGCCCCCTTATTAAAGGGGGCTTCCAGATTTTATTAATCCCCCTGCCTGCAGACCCCTGCAACCGCTGCCCAGGGTTATGGAGAAGAGGTCCTTGTCCCCATCAACATGGGGACAAGGTGCTTTTGAGGGGAACACCCTCTGCCCCAAATTACCAAATCATGTGGCCTGGTATGGTTCAGAAGGAGGAGGGAGCTTGCTTGCCCCCCCCCCCTTTACTGGCTTTCTGGGTTGCATGCCTGGAAAAAGGGCTGGTATGGATTTTGGGGGGGCTCACACAATTTTTTTTTCATTTTGCCATGGATTTTGTTGGGGAGGGGGGGGGGGTCCATGTCATTTTTAAAAATGTGTGTCATGGGTTCCCCTTTAGATTTGTACTAGACCCACAGGGCCTTTTTTTTAATGCTGGCATTTGTTTGTTTACATTCTGCTGTCAGTAGGGAATCCCGCTCACAGATGATGAGTCTTTGGTTGGTAAAGATGCGGGAAGCTGCCAGCTCCTTAACAATCTACTGTTCACTGCTAAATGCCACCACAAAAACTGAAAAATGCTGGCAAAAAAATGCTAATATCAGCATGTTTTTTCCAGTGTTTTTCTGGCATTTTTGTAAAGCTCCTAGTTTGCATAGAGCCTTGTACGTGATCACATACTCTCTAAGCTCCTTATGCAGGTGAGGGAGAAGAAACAGCAGCACTGTAACGTACCTGGTGGTGGACCCTGAAGTGCAGAGGAAGGCCTCTCTTACAGCTCTGGCTCAGGTTTCCTGGTAAAGTAAAATGGAATGCTGTAGCAGGGAGGGGCACGAGTGCCTGGTCAGACGTCTGCTGATGGATGCTGATGTGTGTCTAAGATACAGAAGTAGTTGGCTGGTGGCACACTGGCAGAAGTGCAGGAGCAGCTGGCAGATGACATGCTGGCAGAAGTGCAGGAGCAGCTGGTACATGGCACACAGACAGAAGTGCAGGAGCAGCTGGCAGACGGCACACAGGCAGAAGTGCAGGAGCAGCTGGCAGATGGCACACAGGCAGAAGTGCAGGAGCAGCTGGCAGATGGCACACAGGCAGAAGTGCAGGAGCAGCTGGCAGATGGCACACAGGCAGAAATGCAAGAGCAGCTGTCAGATGGCACACAGGCAGAAGTGCAGGAACAGCTGGCAGATGTCACACATTCAGAAGTGCAGCAGCTGGCAGATGGCACACAGGCAGAAGTGCAGGAGCAGCTGGCAGATGGCACACAGGCAGGAGTGCAGGAACAGCTGGCAGATGGCACACAGGCAGAAGTGCAGGAGCAGCTGGCAGATGACACGCTGGCAGAAGTGCAGGAGCAGCTGGCTGATGGCACACAGGCAGAAGTGCAGGAACAGTTGGCAGATGGCACACAGGCAGAAGTGCAGGAACAGCTGGCAGATGGCACACAGGCAGAAGTGCAGGAACAGCTGGCAGATGGCACACAGGCAGAAGTGCCGGAACAGCTGGCAGATGGCACACAGGCAGAAGTGCAGGAGCAGCTGGCAGATGGCACACAGGCAGAAGTGCAGGAGCAGCTGGTACATGGCACACAGGCAGAAGTGCAGGAGCAGCTGGCAGATTGCACACTAATAGACGTGCAGGAGCAGCTGGCAGATGGCACTCAGGCAGAAGCGCAGGAGCAGCTGGTAGATGGCACATAGGCAGAAGTGCAGGAGCAGCTGGCAGACTAGTAGAAGTGCAGGAGCAGCTGGCAGATGGCACACAGGCAGAAGTGCAGGAGCAGCTGGCAGATGGCACACAGGCAGAAGTGCAGGAACAGCTAGTGGCAGATGACACGCTGGCAGGAAGTGCAGGAGCAGCTGGCAGATGGCACACAGGCAGAAGTGCAGGAGCAGCTGGTAGATGGCACACAGGCAGAAGTGCAGGAGCAGCTGGTAGATGGCACACAGGCAGAAGTGCAGGAAGCAGCTGGCACACAGGCAGAAGTGCAGGAACAGCTGGCAGAAGTGCAGGCAGAAGCAGCTGGCAGATGGCACACAGGCAGAAGTGCAGGAGCAGCTGGTACAGATGGCACACAGGCAGAAGTGCAGGAGCAGCTGGTACATGGCACACAGGCAGAAGTGCAGGAGCAGCTGGCAGATGGCACACAGGCAGAAGTGCAGGAGCAGCTGGCAGATGGCACACTAGTAGAAGTGCAGGAGCAGCTGGCAGATGGCACACAGGCAGAAGTGCAGGAGCAGCTGGTACATGGCACATAGGCAGAAGTGCAGGAGCAGCTGGCAGATGGCACACAGGCAGAAGTGCAGGGACAGTTGGCAGATGGCACACAGGCAGAAGTGTAGGAACAGTTGGCAGATGGCACACAGGCAGAAGTGCAGGAGCAGCTGGCAGATGGCACACAGGCAGAAGTGTAGGAACAGCTGGCAGATGGCACACAGGCAGAAGTGCAGGAGCAGCTGGCAGATGGCATACAAGCAGAAGTGTAGGAACAGCTGGCAGATGGCACACTAGTAGAAGTACAGGAACAGCTGGCAGATGGCACACAGGCAGAGGTGCAGGAACAGCTGGCAGATTGCACACAGGCAGAAGTGCAGGAGCAGCTGGCAGAT